TTCATATGAATAAGTATAAGAATTGTTGAGAAATTAATCTCTACTGCATCAGCTAAACAGTTGCTTAGATTCATTGCAAATACGTGTATTTGTAAATAAAGACATTTTAGATTCCAGAGCTAATGTAAGTTAGCTAATCTTCAAATTAGTGTAACCGCAGACGTCCTCTGAACTAGCTTTGGAGGTCCAACACCCGGAAATGAGTGTGCGGAAAATCTCGCTGTCAAGAACTGAATGTCCAAAAGGAGACAGAGGAGTCCTAAAACTTTATTTGAATAAAGGGAGAGTCCACCGGGCATATCCCTGTGGGGTCTCTCCAAGTGCTGGAGGACGCAGCCCCCTTTTATCCTAATTTCCCGACCGAGGGACGCCCTCTCCTTTTCCCCATTGGCCAAGGTACTCAGAAGTTACAGCCTTCCCGGCCCGCCTACACCCAACTCCTGCCTCCCTCCATCTGTTCTCACCTAAGGTCACCTGACTCCTTTGTCCCCCTTGCTGAAGAATGTGGGGGAATTGCCCTATTTCCCTCCTTTGTAAAGGCCCCCACCTCCTTGCAGATGGCTCTTTTTGTCCCACTAGGCTCATGGCTCCACTCGGTCTCCCCTCCCTTTGTCCTGCTCTTCAGCCAAACTGTGGAGAAACCCCCTTATTGATGAATACAGAAACTTGAGCATTCCGCTCAGCCTCCAATGTCAAGTACATCTCAGACGGTGTGCGCTGCTTGCCGCCTCGTGGTGCCTGGGCAGCAGTGGCGGCAGCATGTGGCGGGGTGAGGTGGAGGCTATGCTGCCTGGCTTACATCAGTGCGGTGGACGTGTACTACCTGCGCTACACCTACATGAAGTCCTGGGCTGGGCTGCTGCGCATGCTTGGTGTGGCCGAGCTGCTGTTGGGCAACGCCGTGTTTGCCTGCGTCTTGGCCTACATGCACGAGGACAACGAGTGGTACATGTTCGGCTACACACAGCCCTACGGCCTCGCTGCCAGCAGCAGAGCCTACAGCGGCTACTCCTACAGTGGCCCCAAGACGCCCTTTGTGCTGGTTGCTGCGGGGGCGGTGTGCGTTGTCACCTTGGTGCTCCTGGTGCTCCGCATGTCGCTCTACTACCACACCATCCTGCCGGACTCCTGGTGGCCCTTGACTGAGTTCAGCATCAGTGTGGCCCTCTTCTTCCTCTACATGGCTGCCGCCATTGTGTATGTGAACGATGCCAACCGTGGGGGGCTCTGCTACTACTCGCTCTTCAAGACACCCATCAACGCATCCTTCTGCCGCGTGGAAGGCGGCATCATCTTCCCATTTGTTGCCATAGTGGCCTACCTGATCAGTGCCGTGGTCGCTCTGGAGGCACGAGGTGACCCGCAGGCACAGAGAGTTAATGGAGCGAGAGGTAAGGCGTAAACTAGCGCTGCAAATGCAGCGCGTGGGGCCCCTGGAAGCTCCTGCCTAACGTGGCTTCAGAGTGACCATATTCACCAGTGTTGCTGACTGAGATCACTGGGTGAAACGTGTTAAGTTACCTGATACAAATTTCCATTGATTGTTTTTCTTCTTATTATTATTTTTATTGACTTTGATAAGAACTGCTTCTGTTCCCTTCATAGCACTCAGTTTTCTTCCTGCCTCAGCTGATGAGTCGCTTCCTGGCTGTATTTTCCAAACAAAGCAGGGAAGGAACAACACTGCTCAGTGGGTAGGGCCAAGGCCACCTAGCAGTTGGAGTCTGAGCATTCCGCGGGTTAAGAGCCAGTGAGGATGACAGTAAGAGGAAGTTGTGATTTTTATGTTGCAAATGAAACTCTTAAGTGACTTTCTTATTTTTTTTTAGCTTTTCTCATGATAGTACAGATAATATTAATAACAACACAGAAATCTGACTCACAGAAATCTAGCCCATTTAATTTAATTTCTTTTTTTCCCCCATCCTAAATATTAAAAAAAAAAAACAAAAACCTTGACCCCCTAGGAAATGTGTAACTATCATGTAGGCAATTTGGGGAGTGAGAGGAGGGGAAAAAATAAAAAAAGGATGTCTCTAAGTCCATTTTTATTAGAGTATTTTTGCCGATTTTTAGTGCCTCTTGTTTTTCTGAAAGTGAAAGAGAGAGGGATCTTGACTCTTCATAACAAACTCTTTAGAGATTGAACAAGGTAACTCAGGAGTTTAATATAAAACACCAAGAACTTTTTTTTGTATTCTTTCCTTGTTAAGCTTTTTGCATTTTCTTAAAATTCTGCTTTAAAGATAAATTGATCGTATTGATCAAGATTTTATCTATACAGAGTTAAAGCACTGTATCTGGCATAAACCTGGAACTCGCCTTTTGAAAAGTTGTAGTTATATGATTAAAACTTTTAAGCATTTTTTAAACTTGTGCAAAAATGAAGTATTGCTGGAATTGCACAGAAAACGATCATTCTTCCTTGCTATCTCAGTGTTATTTTATTGTAATCCTTTCAGAATATTTCTGAAGAGATTGCTTTTATCATGCAGGTTGAGCTGTAAAGTGCTGTGTAAAGTAGTTGCTGGTTAGAGCACAGAAATGTTTTGCTAGCAATGACCTAGGCCTCAGAGTGTCAGGGAGTTAATATATGCTGGAATGTGCAGTAATAAAAGTGACTGGCTGCAGTATTTAATCTGATTTATTCCTTACAGCTATTAGGGGAGACTCCGTCCTTGCTCTGGGTGAAGATGTTTTTTGTTAGTTTTTGTGGGTTTTCTTCCTGTCCTTTTTAAGTGTTTTTTAAATCTACTTCTCTGAAAAATATTCGAATTTTTTTCTTACTTGAAAATATATACATGCTTATCTGCTCTACATGATTTTCACAAAGTTTAGATTTTAAGAGTCTATGCTTTTGCAAAAAAATTATGCTGAAAATAAAACTTAAATTTCCTTTTTCTTTTTTTTTCTTTTCTTTTTTTTTCACAGATGAAAACACAGTCATCTTTAGTAGAACAGAAAGTAAGAAACAATTTGTTTATATTTGTTTCATTACTGGTAATTCTAAGTGCTTATTATTTCTCTTGTGACCCTTTGTTCTCATTGACTGATCTAGTTTTTACCCTGCTAGGAAGAGATGAGGTTGAGGTCTTTGATGTAATCCAGACAACATCCTTCTACCCAGGAGACTCAGAAAGAGCTCCCGAAGAAGTTACTGCTGATCAGGTGAGGGCTCAAGTTTATGGTGTCAGCAGATCGAGTGACTGCCGCTGTGTGCTCTGACCCTTGTCAGTTGAATGGCAAATCCTGCAGCATTCATCCTGTGTTTTGCAGACATGGCTGTGACACCAGAGCATCTCATGTGTTGTAGGATTTAGGTGGTGTTTGTTTTTCCTGACTGACTGCCTGTTTAAATTGGAGAAGAGGTAGTGAAGCATAGTGGTCGGCACTCACCGAGCTGCCAGTTTGCTCCTGTGTCCGAGACCGCTCCAAAGTCCATCCTATGAGCTTTGAAATATTGGTAAATGCCAGAACCTGTCATACCCAAGGGGGATTGGGTAGAGCAAGTGCATTCAACATGAAGATTGCATAGGATCTTAATATAGCAGATGTCGATGATTCTCAGAGAACTGATAATGTATTTCTTTCAATCTTAAATGCCTCCCACTAGATACTGTGGGCTTCCTACTACTCTCTTCTCAGTCGCTCACTTAGATACTGAATCAGGATTTTTTTTTTTTTAACAAGCTGTGGCAGGACAACATGTGTCTGAATTCAGGGAGAAATAGCGCAACAGAGAATGAGGGAAAACTGAGACGTGGGAGAACTGGGTGATTTCTGTCCATCAGCAACAGTCACAGATTAGACAGAAACCCAGTAAAACTTTCTTAAATTACTTTTTAGGACATATAGGACAAAACTCTCCAGGAAGTTTAGTGGATTTTTTTGTTTGTTTGTTTGTTTGTTTGGTGTTTTTTTTTTTTGCCACTGGAACAGCTATTTGAACAAATTTAAGATGGTATTGTGTGAGAAACATCACTGTAACACCTTCCTAATTTTCTAATTACAATAAGAATATATACAACTCGTGCGTACTGCTGTTCAGTGTTGTGTTTCTGTCTTCAAATTGGTCAGGTATTTTGTACTTTGTGTACTTTGTGAGTACTTTTACTCTTGAAGTAAAACTGACTTTAAGAACTACTTTTTTCCTTCTCTCAAAACTTAGTATGACAGTGTCGACAGACCAAGAGAAGAGATCACTTCATAGAATCATAGAATGCTTAAGGTTGGAAGGGACCTCTAGAGCTCATCTAGTCCAACCCCCCTGCACACGCAGGGTCACCTAGAGCACGTGGCACAGGACTGCATCCAAGTGGGTTTTGAAGATCTCCAGAGAAGGAGACTCCACAACCTCTCTGGGCAGCCTGGTCCACTTACAGGCAGCTCAAATCAGTGAAAGTGAAGCCTGAACAACTGAATGGTCATATACCTGCAGGCCACATTCCTAAACCTATTAGTGATGCCAGACTACTTAGCGTAAGTGATAAGCAAACCTAACGGAAAATATTTGAATCTTTTTGTTATTTCAATCTTCCTGAAGTGAATGTTAAACTAGAGAGGAGGAGGGCTGGTGTCAATGACAGAAACAGTAATATAAATGAAGCATCTTAAATTAAGAAGAGAAACTTCAAATGTTAAAGCAGACTGTTGTAATGTAGCATGTACAATAATTACTGATGGAACAGAAGACAATACAGACATGATTTTTTTCCTTTTAGTCTCTGAATCTATAAAAATACTTGCTTCTGAAGTGGTAGAACCAGGCCATTCTATGGTGAAGTATGAAATCATGAAAATAATTTGTATTATATTTAGCATATTTAGATGCTTTACATATATGCAAATTTTAGTAGGTTATGAGATTAACAAATATTTATACAAATACAGAAATACCGTACCAAAGTCAAGGATTTGTGTGTTTGTTGAAATCCTGTCTCTAATTTAATTAGTCCTTAAAAAACACTTTTTTTAAAAAAAGGAAATACCCAGCAATTCAAACAAATGAGATGCGAGACCGATGCAAAGCGGTATTCAATGATCAGTTTACTGAATATAAAGAACTGTCAAGGGATGTTCATGCTGTATTAAAGAAGTTTGATGAGCTGGATGCATTGTTGAGAAAACTGCCTCATAATCCTGGCAACTTATATGTAAGTATCTGTGAAATGGAAAAGCAGCTGTGAAAAGCTGTGAAATGGAAATGCCTAATGTTATTAGGCAGTTTTACTGTCATTACTTAAGGCAATGTCTTGTAATGTTGGCAGTGACTTGGTAGGAAAGACAGTTTCCCCATGTCTGTTATTTCTTGTTTAGTCATTAGCTGAGGATGCTAAGTTGCAATTAAATTGTATATATGTTTTTCTATTTTTTCCATGTTAGTAGCTTTCAAGCTTTGTATGAGCTGATTTTGCTATTTCTCAAATACAAAGCAGTTAAAATATATTTTAAAATATATTAAAATGTATTTGGTTAAAGGAGCGATTGTTTTTTTTGTTGTTTTTTTTTTTAACAAGTATCTAATAAAATTTACATGAAGAAATGGAGCGCACTAATATCATTAAAAATGTGTGCTCTCTCTTACCAGGAACAAGAAAGGATATCAAGAGTTTTGCAAGAATACAAGAAGAAAAAAAAAAGGGATTTTTTTCAGCTTTACTTTGCTAGTTAATCTAATGAATAGCAAAAAGAGTTTAAATAGGACTGCTGACACTATGTTAAGTATGTTAGTTCAGGATATGCAGAGCTATCGCAGAGCTTTATATCCCTGCCTTTTAACAGTTGGGACACTATGCACTCTACTCATCATTTCAACAACCTCATTTGAGAATAATGATTCTGTTAGACAGAGATGGGGGGGAAAATACTTTAATCTTCTGAGAACATGTCTTTTCTCTAGCATTTTGCTTGCAGAATATCAGTTTGCACTCATTTTGGGGATCAAGTTCATTTATACTCACTGACAAAGCCAACACAGCTTTGTTTAACAACAGAAAACACACAGCATTGCCCCTGGAAAGAAGTTTTGTATTTTCTTTTTGGCATGAGGCTTATGTGGACTGTCAAAAATTAATTCTCCCTGTCATCCAAGAGATTTTTGCTTTGTTGTTTTAAAACGCTGACAGTAAAAGTGCACCTTTGTTCCACTAAAAACATAATACGTTATGAATATCTCTTTTAAAATTTATTTCAAAATTTGCATCCATGTTAATTAACATTCATTGTTTTTGGTGGGAAGGGGGTTCGTTTGACACCTATTTGTATTTGCACATTTATGTTAAAGTTGTTCTATTTACTAGATAACTAAGCACATGAAAGCTGAGCCTCTCTCTTTGGCCATTCATAAAAGAAGAGGAAAGAGGAAAAGGCTGGATTTAAGAAATTGTGGCCAAGGAATTATCAAGAGTTTTTGAAGAATGAGGATATTTATATGCTGTCTGTATTCAATGTCATAATTGGTAATGAGCTACTGTTGGAAGAAACTGAAAGCATAAACATTAATATAAGGGTAGGGATTTTTTGCATTTTTTTGGCAGGATCCTATGTTTCTGGAGAAAAAGGAGCATTGTGAATATCTGAAGAATAAGTTTTCTCACATAAAAAATCAGGACTATGATAAAATTATGACTTGGAATGTACAAGTTTAGCATTTCTTTGACTACGGAGATACTGTTTTATATTTTTTTTAAATAAAAATTGTTGCACCTTGCGAAAGAATGGACTCAGTCTGGGATGCAGAGTGAGACAACTTTATTCTCAAACCAACTTCTTTTATACTCTCTTAACACAAGTGTTGCTAAAATTACAACCGGTCAGCATCTTGCTAGCCATGCAGTTGTGGTTATCTTCTTCTCCTATAAGGCCAGGTGAAATACTTTGTTAATAGATATGCTTTCTAGAGATTCGTGTAATATATGTTGGGGTTAAATAGGTTTGCATTGGGCAAATGCTCTCATAGTAATTTTCTTTTTTATGTCATTATTAATATCTTTATATTTACTTTTTACTTATTAAAGTTGGCTGCATCGATAGCCACCTTTTGTACATTTTTCTACAACTGCTGTTTCACTGTATATTTTGTTCCAAAATATATTTTAATTTAAAAAAAAAATCCTAAGGATAACTATGTTATTCTCTTTGTTTGTGAAGGCATTTTCTTGAACTAACCTTAACAGTTTTTCTCAGCACATTTGTCAACGGTTGTATGTTGTCTTTAGAGGTAAATGTTCAACTTTGGCCTTAATTTAAAGGGAAGAATTTAGAAAAGTGGTGTCTAGTTTAGACACTGATGTCATCTTCAGTAGTGCAAATGAAGTGCTGTACCTCACTCTGGGAGTTATTTGCCATCTGAGTTTTGAGCCCTTATTATTCACACTGCAATCCCAATGGCTTCAGACTTGCTCTCATACTTATCAAAGTTGGCGTTCCAATTTAATCAGTCACTTAACTCCGAGAACTCTAGTGTGCAGGGGAGGTGGGCACGTGCAGGG